TGGAGTTAATGCCCTCGATCCAGACAGAGCCTTCGAGTCAATGCCCTCTGTCCCAGGAGGTGAATGGCTCGCTTTCCCAGTTTGCACAGCTGATGCTGGCACCTAGGTTTGTGGAGGGTGGAAGCATGTCTCAGCCTTCTTCCTCCACCACCCTTTTCTCCTGGCAAACGTTGGCTTTGTAGTTGTGTCTAGTTGTGTGTGTGTCACAGCTACACTGGGCTCTCCATCTCTCCATGCTTTGGTTCTTTGTGTGTATACCACCATTCACCAAGCATGGTGAGAGCCGAGAAGGACTGTGCATTTACCACTGTAATTTTTTTTAAAAGTTTTTCAGAAATGCTCAGATAGGTTTATCTGCTGAGTCCCAACACAAGGCCACCGAAGTTCAGCTATGCACTGTCTAGTGGCGCCATTTTAAAGTTCCGCAGTGTAGCTGTACCCCTAAGCTGACATGGATCCCAGGTTACTGTCCTGAACAGAGAGATTCATTGCGAGGAGACGGGAGCATCAAGGTGGTGATGGAATGGTTCCTGTCTCACTCAGGGCCTCACTTGGATGTGAGGGAGCCTACGTGTGGTCCGGACTGCCTGGGGAGTCTCTGGTGTGCCGGGGATCAGACTGGGAACACTGCCCAGAGGCTGTCCCGGTGAAGGCTAAGGCTCTGCAGTTCTGGGATTAGGGCAGGGGATAAAGGAGCTGTTTTGGCAGGAGTCCGGCCCAGGGATAGAAAACCAGAAGACTCAGGGAGAATCTGGGCAGTTGTGGGGGCTCAGGTTTGAAACTGAGAGGTTGACTAAGCAGCTGCTGAGAAGGAGAAGGGCGAGAGGAGGAATCCGTGTGTGTGCGTGCACATGCGCTCCAAAATCATGTTAACACGTGAGAAGAGAAGGGTTCAGCCAAGGGGTGGTGGGGTACAGGCTAGAACTACTTAACTGAAAAAAAGAACGATCCAGATCGATCCTCTTTAACTGCAAGTCTTCCGCTTTTGTGCTGGTAGACATTCATGTCATACTCCCTTCTGTGTTCCATCTTAAGCTTTTGCTCTGGGCTGGTCCAACGGTCACACTGAAACCACACTACTCTGACAGGGCAGGGGCCGTTAATGGGGTGGCTATACCTGTGTGGCTATCCCCCACTTTAAGGGGAGAGTATGCAAATCAGAATAGGTACAGCCTTCACCTACATGGTGAGAGTTTCGCAAATTACCCTGAGGACTTTGTGTAGGAGCATTGATACTGGGCTGACCCACTGCCTGGGCTCTATTTGGCTTGAGAATAGAAGGACGATGGCTTAGATACCTGGACACATTGGGCAGCAACTTCCTTCCACCTTGATGGGCTCGGCACAGGGCAGAGGCGGGCAGCTGACAGTGGAGCAGAGGGTCTGGCCTTGCAGGCAGTAGCAGTGTGTGCAGCTGTCAATGTCCCATCGTTCCTCATCGGCATAGGTCTTCCCGCTGAAGTGACACACCACTTTCTTTGGAATTGTGTCTTCTAGTGAAAAAGAAGAGAATACGGCGGCATGACTGAGTGACCGCATAGCATCTTCTTCTAGTGGGAAACTAAAGGGAACAGCCTGACACGATCACATGATGGTCGATGATCCCCAGGATTTGGTGACCCATTTTTTCTCTAGTCCCAACAGTGTTGTCTGTCATTCTCTTGACCCTTTTCTTGTGGCCCGCAACTGACCAGGGACCACGAAGTCTAGTGGAGAATACTAACTGTAACAGCTCCCCAGGAGTGCTGCTCACGGGCAAGTGTCTTTAGGCTGTTATCCAGAATGTGATGCAGAGAGGGACAAGGGGTCCAGCTGGGCACGATTACAGAGCCAGACTTTACCAATCCCCGTGCCCACCGGTAGTGCGAACCACGCTGGGAGATGGCAAGGGATGAGAATGACGGCACCGTATAAAGACAGCAGCCTAGAGAACTGCTCCCTTCCCCTTTCACGGATAGCGCATGGTTTCTCACCAACAAGGACATCTATCTCCCCCTCCAACACAAACTGACTTCTCCTAGCCCATTCTCCTCTCAACACCAGCAAACTGTGGTTCTCCAGAACAAAATATGTTTAAAAATGATTGTGTTTAGAAGTCTGTATCATGTCCTGGCACTCTCGTTTCCTCCTTAGGACATCCTTTCCCTCACAGGTTCGCTTCTCTTCTTAGGATATTCATGCTGACCTCATGTAACAGCTTGTTTGTTTTCTCTCTGGACCTTAAGACTGGTGGCCCCAGTAAGCCAGATCAGCAGTTCAGGAGCAAAGCAGAGATGTACTGATCCACGGAGAAGCCCTGTCACCAGGCCAATGACTGGCTGGGTGACACCTTAAATGTGAGGCATTTTTAATGCCTGGATTCTAAAGATTACACTATGCACCTCTGGGCACTGGGAATGGCAAACACCCTTAGGAAAGCTGGGATGCTCAGGGCTCGGTGTTTCTCCCGGGAGGCTCCGAGAGACTCTCGGGGGTTATGATGTTCACTGGGCGGATACAAAGGACAGAACACAGAATATCTAAGCAAAGGAATAAAACCTGTAACACGCACTAAAAGGCATAACCCCTGTCTCCCAACATTTTTTCTACTGTTTCATTACTATTGCCTAAAGCCCAACAAAGGATGTTTTAGAAGTAATGAGAAATCCATTTTTCAGTATCTGCTAAAATGTTATTTGGCTGCTAGTCCATGTTCCACACTAAGTGATTTGGTGAATCATCTATGAAGTTAACAACTCATCTGAAGGCTTTCAGACCAAATGTGATACAAGTGTTTGCTAATACGGAATCCTTAAAGGAGGCAACTTCAATTACGATATCTGAAACGTACACAGGAAATGGGCTGGGTAGAGCTACATCGTACGCTTAATTCAGGAAGTCTTCTGACCCATCATCATCACATGACAATAGCTTTGGCCACTGATCCAGAGTCTATTATGCGGTGACCTTGTACTTGGAAGGAACTGATCCTTTACACAGCAACGCTCCTGCTTATGTTTTACATAAACTGTGAAATAGCTCCAACGGTGGATCAGCCACCAGAGTGCGGAGTGAGGAACTGGGAAAGGGACGGCTCAACCCCTTCCCCATCTTGACGGTCACCCTCACCGCAGCTTAGGTTGGTGGCACCCCTGCCAGTGCGCCATGAGAGACGGGCTGAAGGTTTTGTGCAAAGGAGTTCAAATGAAGGCCAAGCACTGGGCTCCATGTTCTTAGGATCTCAGCACGGAAACTCATTACGTCTTAAGATATTTAATAATTCATCGCTACCAACGCTGACGAGGCAATATTAGCTTCCAAAATGAGGCTGAGCTGTTAACGGTGGCAATTATGTGTTCAGCCTTGTGAGGGCATCCACACATGTAACCAACGCTCATTACAGTGCTAATGTACGCAGGACCCTGACCCAGAAGCCTGCCTGCGTGGTGGAGGCAGCCTTGTGTGTGGGTCTCCCTCACCAAGTCCAGTGCAGCTACCACCACGGATACAAGGAAGCAGAGGAGGTGGACAGTGTAGAGGGCCAGATGACCACGGACACAGTGGAACCCATTATGCTAGCGACCCATGAAGAGGAGAGCCAGGTTCAGTTTCCCAGAGCAGAATCAAAGTTCCTGACCCCCTTAGTGATGTGCAGTCGCTACAGAATTATTTCCCCACAAGTGGGCTGACTACGACCGGACCTGGATGCCTGGCCTTTTCACCAGTTTATCCCCGAGGACCTCAGAGGCATGTCACTTTCAGCTTCGCTTCATCTGCAAATGACGTAATTCAGATTTGAGATCAGATGTGGAAAACGGGGCGTGAAGATGTTCTGAGCACGGCGGTTGCCAGATGGCAGCAAGACATGTCTTACGTGGGCTCCAGGGTGCACCAGGCTCTTCAGGAGCTCTCTGAGGTCATGCAATACACTCAGAGTCCCCAAAAGGCTAAACTGGTGTCTGACCTGAGGTGGGTCAGTTAGTGTACTGTCTAGTGTGCAGAGACCCCAAGTGCATCACCAGTCCCCGATTCACAGTGACCCCCGTGTCAAGGACATCATTCTTGCACTCGCTGGCAAAGTCCTTTTGAACCGAAATATCAAAACATTACATAGCAATTAATTTTGTTTCTCCAAGTAGGATCAAAAACCAGGGTGCACTGTGCTAATAAATCTTCATGCTGCCAATAAAGCATCTAGACGTGACTCTTGCTTTTGAGCAAACTCTAACTAGCTTTAGCAGGGCAACTGCCATCTGGCCCAATAAATAGTAAGATAGACTTTGGCTAATGAGTTCCTTGCTCTCTCATAGGACTGGAGGGGGTAGGGTGGGAGGGTGTGTGTGGAGGGAGTGGGAATTTGGGTTGATATTTTTTAAAGTAATAAAATAAAATAAAATAAAAAAAAGAAAAAAAATGGAAATATTTTTGCTTTACACTAAGTTTCTCTTGAAAGGTTAGTGGCTTTGGTAGAGGTTTGACGGTATAGAGCTGGTGGTAGCCGGATGGACCATGGGTTCAAGAACCCTTCAGAATGGGAAGATGGGGCAAAGTCTATGCACTTTGAAGGTCTTTATAATGAATTAATAAAGCCATTGTCACTTTCTCGTAGGACCTGCCTAGTCTAATGGAGACTACATGTAAAGGCTACTCTGAACACATCGCCTGCGGAGGAATGCAGACCTACACATAGTCTCTGTGTGGCTGTTGGTGTGGCTGTTGGGTGCATATGCTATTTGATTCTTACCCCTGCACCGAACACCCAATGGCTCTGCTGACGCTGGCAATGACACCATGTGCTCCTATTTTTCAGTACGTCATATCAATCACAACTTCCACGGCTGGATGACTACTCTGCCCCAGGCACGCGTGCGCCAGTTCCGTGTGATCCCCACAGCCCAGGGGACAGGTTACTGTTTCAATTCCATAAACAGCGGAGGCACACGGAATTAATGTCACTCGACTAAGATGTGAGGACAGGAAGGGCGGGGCAGGAACTAGGGAGGGTTTGCCCCCCCCCCCCCCCCCCGCGCATGCCTTCTATCTACAAAGCACAGTAGCATGACTTGGGGGATGTGGGGGGTCGCTTTCTGGGCAGATATCAGTGCCACATACACCAAAGTCATTATTACTCAGTGACTCTAGGCAATGGAGATCTCTTTCAACCAAGCAGCACAGTCTGGCTGAGGAGTGGAGACGGCACAGCGGTGAGGACTTGGGCAAGCCTGGAAGCCACCCCCAATAAGTCTCCTTCTCACAACTCTTGTCTCTCTTCCTCCCTCTCAGAGAAAAATGACGAGGGAAGGGAGCATCGGGTTCGGCACTGATACACAGGAGGAACATTTGCTTTTCAAACAAATATATTAGGAATTAAGGATCCTAACAAACAGGGTCCTCTTTGAAGCAACCCTTGCTAAAATTGTACTCTGAGGACACTGCCAGTTTCAGACGGCTTTGGGCTTTCCCACTGGCAATGGTATCGAGGGCCAATATTTGACACATTCAGGAGAGACAGTCACTATTGAATGGCTATACCTTGGTGTGATAAGCTCTGGCATTTTGCTTCCTCATTCTGGGTCCCTGTCTTTCCCATCAGATCCAATCTGGAATGGCTTCGTTCAGTTAAGCAATTTTTTTTCTTTTCTGCCACTGTCAACATGGTGAGCCAGGAGCTGGGGTCTGTTTGCCACAGTGGCTCTCTGACAGGGTAAATCACAGAACAAGCCCACCCCTCCTGTCTCTGTCGCTCTCTCTCACACACACTTCTTTGTATGCAATTCAAGCAACAGTATCTTGTACCGCCTAGGACCACACTGAAAAATTTGCAGAACTTTTTGGGAGCAGAGATGTAGAACTCAGTGTGGTTCCCCTCTGTCTGTCCTGGATTCTGGCTATATAAACGGGAGAACTTTCAAGGTCTTACATGGCCACTCTTTCTAGGCTGAATTCAGCTGTTTAAACTCGACAGTCTCACGTCTTTTCAATAGGAGAACAAAAGCTTTCAGCAATCTGTGAAGGTTGGATGGACCTGGCTTTTACTACTTGAGCTGTGTCAGTTACAAAGTTCACTAAGGGCAGTGGTGGCCACCAGTGCCTTCTTCCTCTTTCCAGGTTCAACCTCCAGTCTCGACTCACATGGGCCCACAGGCCTGGCCGACTCTGACCTACTGCTGGATACATGAGCCTCTGCTAAGGAAGCTTCTGATGGCTTCCCTTTCCTCTACGGAAGGATACGGAACCCCAAACCTACTGTAACCTGCATTACAGCTGGGCTTTCAGTTTCTGCCTCCGAGATAACCTTCTTGGACAGACACTTGGGGTTCTAATTCTGTTTCGCTGGTCATAGTGTGGGAGGCCCTTCCTGGGCGGAAGTTGGGCAGCTTTAGAAATTGCATCAGTTCTTTCAAATCCTGGCCACAATGCGGAGTCCGGAAAAGTAATTTACTCTGGGATCCCGGTGGCTAAGAAGCTAAATGCTGCTTCTGCTTTAAGAAGTCCCCTGTTTATATCAATCCAGCACAGTCCTGCTCTCGGGCATCTGTTCCTTCCTCAGGTATTGGGTGGGATGCAGGCACACTAACAGAATTGTTCTCAACTCTTGGCTTCAGTAATGAGCAGGGTATATTCCCTCCGGGACACGCCCCCAGAGCCACAGAGCTTGCTTACATTTGGTGGACGTGCCAAAGGACTGGCTCACAGCATTCCACTTCAGTGTGGGCACCAAGTTTGAAGTCTGAGGTGTGTGTGTATCGTTTAGCATACATCTGTATATGCGCACGTGTGTATGTTGTGTGTGCGCACGTGTGTGTAAAGAGGCCAGGGATCAATGACAGGTATCTTCTTCTATCATTCCCCAACCTATACTTTGATTGTTTCTCTCACTGACTCCAGAAGTCCATGATTGGCCAGACTGGTTGGCTAGCAAGCTTGAGGATCTGCCTGTGTCCCCTTCTCCTTTGTTGCTAGGGCTACAGATGCATGCGGCCATGCTTGGCTTTTTGCATGGGTACTGGGGATTCAAACTGAGGCGTTCCTGCTTGTGCAGTGGCAGCCATTTTATCTGTCCAGCTATCTCCTCAGTCTGATTTATGGTAAGGAATACGTAGTGAGATCATTCAGGCAGGGGTAAGAAGGACGCTTGCACAGTATGGGTGGTATGCAGTTTAGAAGACGAAGTAGAACAAGCAGCCCAGGCTTACTAATGATCAAGCCTCAGTACAGGGCAAGGACTTCACTAAAACATCAATGTGCACTTTCACAATGCGCCGCAGTGCCTTTCTCCAGCCTACAAGGGAGCAGGACAAACCTATGTTCCATTTTACTTTCTGATAAGACACCAAGTCCCTGCCTGTGATGTCATTTTCCTTCATCAACTTCAGTTGGGCAAACCCTAGGTATGAGAGCCATGCTTGGCGAACATAGGAGATATGAGCAAGCTCTATTTGAGAAACTAGCACTACTATCTTGTTTGTTTTTACGTAAAGGGAAGTCTTAAACAGAAATTGCAAGAAGCGGGAATCTAAGTAAAGAGCCAAGAAGAGGTCAGTACAAGTTTGCAGATGTATAGGCAGAGACCCTGAGCGCCGGCTCAATGGGAAGTACAGACTCCAAGAGGTCAAGGAGGGGAGCTCAAATGGGCCTGGGTGCATGCTGGACCTGAACAGTTTCAATGAGGGAAAGAGCTTGGGAAACATTCAGTTTTAATCCTTTGCATATGAAAAAGGGGGCAAACATTGTCATGCAGTGTGGCTGCCACCTCTGTAAAGTATCTTTATCGATGCGCAAGCCAGTGGCCTCCAAAATCCTTTCTTCAAAATTCAGTTTTATTTTATTTTAGTTCATCTATTTTTTTTTTTTGGATATAATGTCTAAGTCTATTAAAAAGATCAAAAGAGGCTTCCAGGTTTCTTCACCACACTGCAGTAAAATGGTTGCTTCAAACCCACAGAATTGTCACAAATGTTCCTGAGTGCCATCAACAGAAATCCAACCAGCTGGCATACCGTGCCTTGGTTGGGCCCACTGCATGCAAAGAGGGCACAATTTCTCAGCTATGGAATGTAGTTCTTGTATCAAGATGTTTACGGTGGGTCGGTTGGGGATACTTCAAGATTCAAGTTCAAACAAGTAGTTCATTTTCAACTTGAAACGAAGTCTTATTTTATAGTAAGGCCTACTATTTCACAATAAGGTGTGCTTGTGTGTGTGTGTGTTGAGATTACACACCAAAATAATTCTGGAAATAAATAAATGTATTCTAAATGGCAGACAATAATGATGCAAGATCAAAGTGGCTCCAAAAAAGAAGGAAAAGAGATGCAATTTTCTTTAGGATGCTTGAGTTCAGCCTCTTGCTAAGAAAGCCTAACTGACCAGATGTCGCTGTCTCTGAACCTGCAGGAGATGTTCCCTGTCGTCAGAAATCCTCTCCCAGCAGTGTCCAGGGGTCCTAATCAGGTGGGTTGTCCTGGTAGAGGGCTACACCCATCCCTTATCACTGGCAGGTAGAAAACCAGGTTTGGCCTCTTGTACAGACATAAACAGGAAAGGACAAATGCTGGTCCACTCTGAGACTCCAGTGCCAGCCTCCCTCCATGCAGAGGGATCTTTAACACAAGGTCATGGGCCCAGACAGATGCTATGTCCCAGAACTGCAAACATGTGAGTTTCTGTTTATGATGCCTGGCTACATGGAGAAACAAAAACAGAGCGGGAAGTACACAGAAGAAGGATCTTCCTAGGGTGCAGGGCAAGACCTAAGCAAATTGAAATCAAACACGGTTTATTTTTGGTGTGGTAACTTTAGAGCAGTTCCAAGGTTGGTACAGTAGATGACAACTGGAATGTTTTCCTTCTCGCACCCTCTAAACGATACACAAACGCCCATTCTGTTTCCCTTGCCTTTCCATCACACCGCCTCTCTTTCCTTCCACTTAAATGCCTTTAGTGCGAGTTCTGACAATGAGGGTGACAATCTGGAGCCACTGTGACAGCTGGGGAAGGGATGGAAGGGATGCAGGACGCTAGGAGAGCATGCCCTTCAGTATCAACAACAGCAAAGACCACATGAATAGTTCATGGACTCTTCTCATGACACCAACTTCTAAAACCGAATTTATGGGTCCCCTCTTCTCACATTTAGAAAATGTCTAAAGACAGTGAGGTCTGTAGGTAAGACCCTGCCCTCAACACAAGTATTACAGAGAGCGTATTATTTCTACCTGGGCCACAGAAAGGACCAAAGAAGCCATGGACCTTTAAAGATGAGAAAAGACAGGAGGAAGAGCACCACCAAGCATCATTGTGTTCTCCTCCTTCAGAAGGCCACCAGAGATATGTGGTGCTGGCCTCTCTCTTGGTGAAGCCAGAAGCTCCACTCCATGTGAGGAGATAATCGGCACTACATGAACATTGCTTAGATTGGCTGCAGTCTGTCCTGAAGCAGCAGCGGTTCACTGAGGCAGGCCACACTCACGTAGTGTTTACCTCTCCACATACAAATATGGCTTCACTTCATGTACACAGGGTCTTTGAGATGCACAGGTTGCCTCTATAGGAGATTAGACTGTATCGTATCACCAAGATACAAAGCCGGTATGTTTCAGAGTTAGGATCACAACCCTGGCTCTACGGCAAGTTCTTTACAGTGTGCAAAACTTTTTAATTTTAAAGAAATATACCGGAGTATTAGATTCTAGTGTCCTGATATTATGACTTAAAAACACGTGACATGAACTCCATGGATTCTGCATTTCAATGATGCTGATGCAAACGGTTATTATACTTGATGCTGACTGATGTACATGCATACAGAGATCTAAGAAGATAATGTTTTGATCACTCAGCCTGAAGCACACTGACGTCCAAGCATGAGGGATGCTGCGCAGCCGACAGGTGTGGTTCAGGATACAGACCCCTCTCTATTAGGGAGCCATGGTGCTATGCATTCCCTGAAGATGACGATACAATTATAGCACTACAGTGCACTGAGGGGGAAAAGGGGCTTTGACTCGAGCCAGGACAGCCTCGTGATAGCGCCACTTCAAATATTAGGACAGACTAACACACAGCAAATGTGAAGTACGGCTATGCGCTAATCAGACAGAGGTATAATAAAAAGAATGACGTGGTGGAAGAAAACTTTAATAAATCATCTATCAAAAAATTCATCTGACAGCTCTTCAAAGAGCCACATTAAAGGCGTTCTGAAGTGACTCTAAGTCATAAGCAGAACATCTTAACTGTGCTCATAAGCAAGTTCTAAACCATGTGTGCTGATGTTTTATATATATGTAAGCAAACAGCTCTCATCCAAAAATAACCAATGTTTCTCAGAATCTTCTTAAATCGAAAGATTCATCGACTCGGGGATTCCTAGCTGTAATTCTCAGTATGTGACCTAAAATATCAAGTAAAGTAACATGCAACTAACAAATAAACTCATCCTTACCAGACTGTAATTTTCAGGTAGTAGTCTACGCAAGACTTCTGGCTCAGCCAGCAGAGTGCTCCTGCTCTCCTAGACCAGCCTGCTGGTAGCACATCTGAGTGTCTCACTTTCCAAAGCTGACAGGGAACTAACGTACGACCCCATCTGTTATAACTGATTATAAAGAGTAATCTTTATAATCAAAGGACTGCTCTTTCCATGGACTGGCCAACCCGAAAAAACCGAATCAAAGGCATACAAAGGATCCAACGGACTACTCATGGCCCCCTTGCCAGAGCTGTGGGCAGGGTAGGCATCTCCACAAATATGGTGAGGGAAGGTGGGGTGCTGATCATGGGTCATTTGTTTGCTCTCCCTCTCTTGGGAAAAGACAGCCAAGATCTCATGGGCCCTGAAAGACTTTCTTCCCCTCTGGGAAGGAATGAGAGAGGCACATAGCTACATGGCCAGTAGCAAAGTGAGGACCCTCAACAACAGCCTGGGCTCTCGGAGTGAAGAGCGCGGTAACAGAGGGATCTAGCAGTTCCAACCACCCAGATACCATGCCTGCTATCACACCTCAGAATTACCAGCATGTTACCTGACCCACACCCATGCTATCTTCTGAGCCATCTTTATAGTCAGAAAGCCTATGACAATACAGCCAGGCGTTGTGTGTATTTGTATAGGAAGGCAGAATACAAAAAATTAGAAAATCAATTAAGATGCTCCATTAAAATGATTGGGTAATTACTACTTAGTTTCATTCGAGTAGAAGGATGAATTCCCTAATGATAGGTATTATAAGCAATTAGACAAAGCTGCTCACTTTTCAAAATTAATCACCAATCCTATTAATTATGTCTGTATTACACATCCTACTAAATTAGCACACGTAATGGGAGGCCTTCACACATCAAAAGAGAACCATTATCACCGCGTATTAGTGAGCAGATAATTTAGCTGAAAGGAACACAAACACTTGTAATGAGAAGCCTACTTTTAGGAGGATCGCCCACTTTTCATTACCTTTGCTGAGAAAACGAAATTCAAAGGCAAACATGAGCCAACTTCCTGGTTTGGGGATGAGAAAAAAGTGGGTTTCTCAGGAGCTGTGAGGCTGTTAGAGCAGGGGACCTGAGGCCACAGCAAGGCCAGTGTCCCTGGTGATCTGGGCGGTCCCTAGTGAGGGCTGACAATCTGGAGTGAAAGTGCCAATGCCCCAATGCCCAGCGCAAGCACTGGTTCTCACTGTTCTATGGGAAAGCAGTCGGGTGCTCGACAGCACGAAACCCTGGCCCGGACCCACTGTTTTCCCTTCTCGAGATGACTAAGGATCTGCAGGTCAGCCACGGCTATGAAGGATTTTCGGGAAGGCTGGTTTGCCCAGGCTTGGTACCTCTGTAGAAGGGCTGGGCTAATGGGAAGGTGGGACAATAAGAGAAAATACCCAAACATAAAAGAGGGAAGTCAGACAGGAAATCCCTAAGTTACTTCATGAACTCAACTTTCAATGCTTGACTAGCAAAGCCACACGAGAGCAGGAGCGATTTAAGCAGAGTATTTACAAAGCAAGCACGACACGGACAGGGGAGGCTTAATTAGGGTGTTAAGTGTACAACAGGGATGGAGCGGTAAGATTCGTGAGCACACACAAGCTGCAGGTGCCAGATAGTGAATTTTTCATGTTCCCTTAGGATGGGGCCCAGGCTTATCGAACACACGTGAACATACAGACACATCAGTGGGTAGAAGGGGTGGGGGGTTGTCGTAGAGGGTGCTGGAACACAATATGCACTTATATGAACCATAATTTAATGCAAGTGCTTATACTCTAACTTAAAACCCAAATCACAAAGTCTGGCCGAATAGGTCTTTCTTGCCTACGTTCAAGAAGACTGCATAGTCTAAATGATTCAAAAACTGAGACAATGAAGGGGAAACGCAGGAGACAGAAAACACTAAGGTTTCTTTCCACGATTTTGGGGAATTGCTTTTGTGAGAAAGAGAAGTGATTTACCATCATCACATGAAAACTAATTCACAACTAAAGTAACCGGCTTAAGGGATGAAGCAACAAAACACCACAGGGAGGATCAGCTGAACAAAACCCTCTGAGAATTTCAACGCAAGAGAAATTTGTTAGGAGATTTGTTTTCCCCTCTGAAGCGGACATGGAATTCTTAGGCCATCTGGGCTCGATTTCCCAAGGATTATCCATGTATTCCCGGGTGGTTCATTAATTCTTCCTTTTGTCACTGGAGGTCTGCTAAGTGGACGGGACACAACTGTCTTGTTCACAGGGAATTGCTGGGAGGGATGGGCAGTATCCTGCTTACATCTCCGATTTAGATTCGCACCAAGGGCAGCGTGCCATTTCTTGTACAAATTGTAGGCAGCTCTTTGAAAGGTAAGTAGCTAATGTGGATGCGTGTCTTGATCAATTTTTAGTTCCATTTAGGAACAATGCTTACAGGTATCTCTCCCCACTGGGAAATTACCGTCCGTCCCAGATTCTGTAGACATTCCTGATCGGTAGTTGCTATTACGTCACAACTGCCCACGGTCCTCACCCAACAGCACTTTAAAGGATAAATTATATAGATGGTCACTCAAAGGAGAGACCCAGTTTTCAAGACATATTGTTTTATATTCTTTGCAAACACACACACACACACACACACACACACACACACACACACACAC